CCCCCCCCCCCCCCACAAGCAAGGGTAAGAAATATATATCCCTTGAATTATACTTTTTTGTAACTTCAAACAACCTATCAAGATAATTCTAAACCAATAGCTAAATGACTGCCTGTCAACCTAGCTGTAATCATACCATAGCAATGGCAAGGCTATGTGAACTATATTAGCAGAGGCAGTACAATAGCAAAATTTAAGGAGGGGCTTTAGAGCTATTATAATGAACCACCTATAGTCATGAAACGATTGTGTGTTTACCAAGTTACGCCTACTAAGAAAATTACCACAAAGCTGCATCAGCTGGGTGCGATAAAACTGTACAAGTTGGGTGACAAAACTGTACGAGCAGGCCCCGAAGATTGTTGGAACTGGACAGTGTCACTTGATATAACTGACAATAGCGTAGAGTCCAAGTAAGTTAAAAAGCATAAATGATTGAAAATTAAACTGATGCGCCTGGACTCCCACTCTCAATAGATCCCCTGCCTTGACATTACCTAATAAACATACATCAATACTCGTATCATTTTCTGAACTCGTGTAGTTGTTGTTGAACTATATTGTCATTCTTGAACTTTGGTGTCTTTTTTGAACCACCCAAAAAGGAAAACTGAAAAAATGTGACAGAAAAAAGTCTCTTTTTATATTGTAAAAGTGTGAGAAGGGTGATGACATTCATCGCATGAAAATCCTGCAATTTTTTCTCCTCATTTTTAAGATGCGGACGTCCGAGGAAACAAATTCTCAATATCACGCCGTGATTGAAACGCTTACTAGTGTCCGTTTTCTTGGTTTTTTCTAGTTTTTTTTTTCTATTAACTATGTAAAGCGATTAAGTCAAAGCTACATACCCATCCTTTGTTCGGATCCCCCTTATGGATTCTCTGCATAAAGCCCTAAAAATGTTGATGTTGATAAAAAAACTTTAGCTCACGGAACTTAACCCTGGTGATAGATTCTGTTTGACTATTTACAGGATAAAAACCATTTTTCCCTTTGTTTGTTTGTTGCTTCTTACATTTGTTTAGTTTTAAAATTTTGAGTTTGACTAATAGTCGCGGGTCGCGGGTCGCGAGTCCAAAGTCGCGGTCGCGGGTCCAATGTCGCGGTCGCGGGTCCAATGTCGCGGTCGCGGGTCCATTGTCGCGGTCGCGGGTCCATTGTCGCGGTCGCGGGTCCAATGTCGCGGTAGGGGAAAATGATTTGGGGTTCGAGGTAACAGCTGAGTGAAAACGACTGATATGAACACAATATGAAGGGAAAAAATCTTTTTTATGCACGATACTCTACGGTAGCCAATTTCCAGGTTACGGATGTCAGAGTCAACAAAATAATGTCCCAAGAAAAGACCTAAAAGAAAAAGCTGGCCGACTTTTGTGTTCACCACAAGTTTATTTTGTTTTTCTTTCTATCGGGCCCAGTTATGTGTAAATCAGCTTTGAATATACTTATGCATGACAGGATCTGATAAAAAAAGTTACCATAAGTTACCATTGCTTTCTTCTTGTCGATGAATTGCTCACAAATGCTTAGGGGTTCATTTACTGAAAAATATGCGATACACTTCATAGACTACAGATTATAAACGTTACAACAGCTTAAAGCCTTTTTTT